GAATATGTAACAGAAATTATTTTTTAAATAGATCCACATTAAAATAATATAGTAAACAAAATAAAATTTCTTTAAAAGAAGCGGCGTTTCGCGCACTTCTCAAACTCAAACCCGTTACCTGGTCGTCGTCGTAGGACTTAGGTATAGGAAAAATCACAAAATTTACGCGCACTTACGTAGCGTCCAGTATATTATGCCAACTGACTTATTTTGATCCCGTATTTTTTCTGCCTACCTAATAGTCAGTAATTATTTAAAAACATGCAGTAGTTAAAAAGGTGCAATCACCATAATATGTGTTTCATATGGTGAGTGTAGAGAAACGGAGTCCCTTTTTACTGGAAAAGAGGCATTCCATCATAGTCCTCACGGTTGATGATTCGCAAACGAGGATAAATGTAGATGTATATGGGCCATAGCAACCACTTACCATCAGGTGAACTGTGTGCTCGGTAGTCACCCTATCCTATAAAAAAAATCTCCATGCCAACATGGTTTTATGAGTAAGAAGTATACTAATACTAATTTACTAAATAATATTTCCAATCTTATTGATTCGGTTGACAAAAACCTTCAAGTAGAATATATTTTGATTTCGCTAAGGCATTTGATAGGGTGGACCATAATATACTTGTTAAAAACTCGAATATTTTAGCATTTATAGTGCATTTTAAGCTGGTGCAAATCCTATCTCTCTAATCGAAATGCCAGAGTAGTAATTGATGGCGAGTGCTCGCATTCTTTCAATGCTATTTATTTCTGGTGTTCTGCAGGGATCAAATTTGGGGCCTTTATTCGTTGTTTCGTTTATTAATGAAATAGTAAATGTATTTAAAAGTTGTCAGGTTTATTTGTTCGCAGACGATTTAAAAATAGCTAAAGTTATAAAGCAATAATTTGATGTAATAGACCTACAAACGAATCTTGATAGACTTGTAAAATGGTGTGAAACAAATCGAATGCTGCTCAATCCGGGCAAATGTAGTTTTATAAAATTCACAAGAAAAAAAATCATTAATGAGTTCTTACAACATTTTGGGTAAAAAACTGAAGGAAACTAATTCTATTAGAGATCTGGGCGTAATATTTGATAGCAAATTAAGATTCGATAAACGTATGTGTAAAAAACATAGCAACACTAAACATTGGTTCAGACGGGCTCACACTTTTTATAAAAAATGTAATGATAGTTTATAAAATTAATTATTCACTAACTTTATGCTAAACTTAACTTATATTTATGTTAGAAAAACTGTTCTACAATATGGTATAAAGAAAGGAAACTTCGAAGGAGTCGCAGTAATCTATTTTAATGTACAATTTAACTTGTACACAATTATCTTAAAAATATTAAATAGGACGTGTTAACAGATTAAGAGGCGAGAAGGTAAAGGTACATTGAATAATTCAATTGAACAGTCGTTGGCTATTGCCAGTATTACGTATGTAAACGTAACGATATGCTATTGGTAGAAGTACAAATAGATTTATTAGAAAGAAATATGGACCTTAAACGTAAACAATTACGGTGAAACTTAGTACTATTACTTGGCCTAACGAATCAAACGTACCTACACGTAAGACATAATAATTGCTATACGAGTTACATTACATCTACTTAAATAATAAATCTTTAAAACGCTAAGACGAAAGCGGCGCGAACAACTGTTATCTATCTTTTGTTCGTTAAACTTATTTTTGTTCCAACTACCATTAAAATAGGCTATTTAAAGCACTGCTATTGTTTTAGAATGATGGGTTCTCCTATAATTGGTAGTACATAGTAATTTGTAGATGTAAGGCATGTGTTAGAAGTAATTTAATATGTACAAATGTTGGAGATCCATACAAATAAATAAAGTGATAATTTAAATTATAATATTATATTATTATAATTTAAATATAATTAATTAAACTGTTAATTTAAATAACCTCGAATTAGATGGGTACTCGGCTGATGTTCTATACACAACTGAACATAATATGACAAAAATAAAATTATAATTTGTGGAGATTTTAATATAAATATTGTTACGCGCCACTATTAATGTCTTGTACATGGCAACACTAGTTACACTAGCGCCCCCTAGTGTCGAGTAAATGAAAGTATTGCGCGCCACTATTAATGTCTTGTACATGGCAACACTAGTCACACTAGCGCCCTCTAGTGTCGAGTAGCAGAACTAGGAGAGTCGAGATCCTTCCAGAAATTTCGGGACCGATATGTACTCGAACATTCTAGATGTCGCTACAGTAGAAGGTTCTGGAAACTATCTGAGGCCCTATATAAGACCGGTATAGACCACGACCGGGGCAGTATTGAATTGGCGATACAAGAGAATACTTCGAAGCGAAATAACGGCGAACTGTGTTTTATTATTAGTGTGATTTTTGATTGTAATTAGTGTTGTGTAATTAAAGTGTCAATTTTGGTAATTCACTCGGCAGTTTTTAATTGTCTCGAACCCGAAGCTCGTAACAATTGGTGTCAGAAGTGGGATCAAATATGCCGATTTTACCTAAAGACGACACGGAGGGTATCCGTACCCGAAGTCAACGCCAACAGGAGACGGACCAGAGACGATTTGGTAATGCAACGCCGCAAACGTCGGAGGGCCAGTTGCTAACCACGGAGGCTGGCCCGTCAGCAGCTCCTGCATCTGCAGCACCTGACTTGGGTGCTCTGATGATGATGCTGCAGGATCAGGCTCGCCGACAGGAGGAACAGGCCCGCCGACAGGAGGAACAGGCCCGCCGACAGGAGGAACAGACCCGTCGGCTGGAAGAGCAGCTGCAGCGCGGTATGGAAGAACAGATGCTCCCCAGGAAGGACCTTCACGCTACCTTCGGGAAAGAGATAAAGGAGGTGAAGGATAGGGTTGCTCAACATGACAACCGCCTGTCGGAAGCTGTAACCCGAATCGACCAAGTGAACAATCGGGTTGACAACGTGATGGCCAGGCGTGTCACTTTGTAAAAATCTGAGGTATGGAAAATGGTGGCGCGATTTTCAAATTTGTTCGCATTACTCGTGGGGTATTAAGGTTTAAGAGTTTGCAGTGTATATACTCAACTTATTTATTGAACTATAAGATGTGGGGTATTGAGGTTTAAGGGCTTGCGATTTATTTATATGGGGTTTGTAGTAATATGCGATTTATTTCCTAATTTCAGCTATGGAATTCCATACCTTGAAAAACTTGAGGTATGGAGTGCTCCATACCTTCCATAGTGGAAGTGACACCCCTGGTGATGGCTGATGTGAAGAAAACGCTGGACGACCTCAAACTTGGGGATGGAATCACAGCTCCCGTGGTAGCTATAACACCTTCGCTACGTGGATTCAAAGTGCCGCCGTTCGACGGGAGTTCTTCCTGGTCGGCCTACAAAATCCAGTTCGAGGCTGTCATGAAAGCGAACGGCTGGAATAAAAGTCAGGCCATGACTGCTCTCACCCTAGGCCTACGCGACCAGGCCTTAACTGTTTTAGAAGCGCTCGGTAAGGAAGTGACTTACGGGCAGCTCCTTGAGGCATTGGAGGCGAGATATGGCGATGCTCACCTGGAACACGTCTTTCGTGCGCAGCTCAAAGATCGCGTGCAACGCAGTAACGAAAACCTGCAGCAGTGGGCCCTTGAGGTGGAGAAGCTGGTTCGAAAAGCGTACCAGTCTGTACCTGTGCTCATTGTAGGGAACCTGGTGCAGACTTTCATCGACGGCATCCGCGACCTTGAAGTCAGAGCTGCTGTGAGGCTCGGGCACCACCAGACGCTTAAGGACGCCCTGACCCATGCACTGGAGGTGGAAGCCGTGCGGCAGGATCATCGTTCCCACCGCGTCAGGGAGGTTGCAGCAGCTACAGTTCAGGACCGCAATAAGGGCTATAACCCTAGGTGCTACGGCTGTGGGGAAAGGGGCCATCTTCGATCCAGCTGCCCTAAACGAACTGTAGAAAGGGAAGGTGATCGATCTCGAGAGGGTAGTGCGGATAATAGCACCGCCCAGCAGCAGCAGGGAAACGAGTAAAAGCCAGGACTGCGGGGCGGGTGCTGGCTGATGTTAAAAGAGCCCCAAGGATTTCGATCTCACAAACCCATGATGGGAACAGCCTAATCATCAAGGGCGAAGTCAACGGAACGCCGTGTAAACTGACCATAGACACTGGAGCCTCTCGCACGGTTGTCAGTTCCCAACTTATAAGTCGGTTCCTTGGGGACTCCGCATACAACCGAGAACGCATTAATTTGGTGACAGCCACCGGTCAGCGCATACCCGTCCGTGGAGAGAAGGAGATGGAGTTGAAGCTAGGCAACATGATCTACCTGCATAATGTCATCGTGGCTGATATAATGGACGACTGCATCCTGGGCCTAGACTTTATGAGGAAGAATTGTTGTGAGATCGACGTTAAGCAAGGTGTTTTGAAATGTGGACAAGAAGAACTTTTCGTGGAAGGGGCGTTACCAGGGAATGTGTACAGCCTTAAGAAGATTGTTCTTCCGCCGAGATCGGAAACGATTGTGCCGGTTAGTCTTCCTCGGAGTCCTGGGCAAGCCCATCGTTGTGTACTCGTGGAAAGGGTAGACAATGACCTTCCATGGAAAGTGGCTCGAACCTTGGTCAGAACCACCGACATCTCAGGAGTACGTGTGTTGAACCTTTGTGATCAGGAACAGATTATAGAAAAAGGCACATTGGTTGGTACTAGTGAGGAAGTGGATTGGTTGCGTCGATGCGAATATCTATCGACCGGGACCCCCAGCAAGGATGGACAAACGATAGTGACCACACTTTTGGAAGACTGTCGCAGCGTTCTTTCCCCGAATGAAATGGTCAAGGCGAAGAAGTTGTTACTCAAGTACGCCAATGTTTTCTCGTCAAACGAAGCTGACATAGGAAAGACTGGCTTAGTTCAACACAAAATAAACACAGGACAAGAATTGCCTATTCGTCAGCGGCCAAGAAGATTGCCTGTAGCACGTGAAAAGGAAGTGGAAACCATGATTGAGGGAATGGTGAAGGATGGTGTTATTGAACCTTCATCTAGTCCATGGTGTTCACCTGTGGTGCTGGTAAAGAAGAAGGACGGCAGCATGCGGTTTTGTGTTGACTATCGCCGCCTGAACGACATTACAAAGAAGGACAGCTATCCCTTGCCAAGAATTGATGACACGCTGGATATGCTTACAGGCGTAAAGTGGTTTAGTACGCTAGATCTGAAAAGTGGCTACTGGCAGGTTGAAATTGACCCTAAGGACAAGGAGAAAACTGCATTCTCCACAGGAAAGGGTCTGTGGCAATTCAAAGTCATGCCGTTTGGATTGTGCAATGCTCCAGCAACGTTTGAAAGGTTGATGGAGCTTGTACTTACCGGGCTAATTGGAGATGCTTGTCTGGTCTATTTGGATGACATCATCATCGTAGGCCGTACGTTTGAGGAACACCTTCAAAACCTGGAACGCGTGCTCATGAAGATCCAGAGTGCCAACCTCAAGTTGAGTCCAAAGAAGTGCTCACTATTCAAACGGCAAGTTAGTTTTTTGGGGTATGTAGTGTCGGAAGAAGGTATCCGCACGGATCCAGAGAAAATTGCTGCTGTCAAGGAGTGGCCGGTCCCAAAAGACAAGACACAGGTTAGAGCATTTTTGGGTTTGTGCTCTTATTATCGGCGATTTGTGAAGAACTTTGCAGATATAGCCAAACCTCTGCACAAGCTAACCGAGGAGAAGCGACAATTCTGCTGGGATGAAAGTTGCGATATTGCATTCCAGGAGCTCAAGAACCGCCTGTGCAAAACACCTATTTTGGGGTACCCTGATGCGGGCAAGGAATTCATAGTTGACACAGACGCAAGTGATATAGGACTTGGCGGTGTGTTGTCTCAACGGAATGGTGATCAAGAGATTGTGATAGCGTACTTCAGCAAGTCGTTGTCAAAGCCGGAAAGGAACTATTGTGTCACAAGACGGGAATTGCTTGCTGTGGTAAAGTCCTTGCAGCATTTTAGCAAATATCTTCTAGGGCGGAAATTCCACTTACGAACTGACCATGCTGCACTGAAATGGCTATTGCAGTTCAAAAATCCGGAAGGACAAGTTGCGAGATGGATAGAACTACTGCAGGAATACGACTTTGTGATCGAACATCGCAGCGGGAAATCTCATGGCAATGCAGATGCATTGTCAAGAAGACCTTGCCCTGAAGATTGCAAGCATTGTACTAGGCAAGAGGGTAAGGAAGTGGTATCTGTGAGAATGCTCAGGACAGACCAGCTCAGCAATGAGTGGAAGGACAGCCTACAACATGCACAGCAGGAAGATTCGGACATTAAGCCGATTCTGGAATGGATGAAGGCCAGTGCTCCTAAGCCCAAGTGGAGCGACGTCTCAGCAATGAGTTCGACCACGAAAAGCTATTGGGCCCAATGGGACAGCTTGCTGATTCGGGATGGAGTCCTGTGCCGTAAATGGGAAAATGGTCGGGGAGACAGGTGTCATTTGCAAATGGTTGTCCCTAAGGCTAAAGTGCCGGATATTCTACAGCTGTACCATAGTGGTTGTTCAGGAGGCCACCTGGGAGTTAAACGAACTCTCCTGAAGATCCGAGAACGGTTTTACTGGGTACCCACTGTCGTGACGATGTCGAGGACTGGTGCCGCAAATGTACAAGTTGTGCGGCTGTAAAGGGACCTCAAATTCGTAGTAGAGGCGCATTGAAATTGTACAATGTTGGTGCACCATGGGAGAGGATAGCCATTGACGTTGCGGGGCCGTTTCCAGAAACTGAAAGTGGTAACAAGTATTTCATGGTAGTGATGGATTACTTCACTAAGTGGCCAGAAGTCTTCGCCATTCCAAATCAAGAAGCTTCAACAGTTGCAGATAAACTAGTTCATGAAGTCTTCTGTCGTTTTGGAGTACCTTTAGAGATTCACAGCGATCAAGGAAGGAATTTTGAGTCTCAAATATTCCAGGAAACTTGCCGAGTTATGGGTACTCAGAAAACACGAACAACTTCTTACCACCCACAATCTGATGGAATGGTAGAAAGATTTAATCAGACATTGGAGAGGTACCTAGCAAAAGTTGTGGAAAAACGGCAACGAGACTGGGACAGGCACATACAACCGTTTTTGTTGTCATATCGAAGCGCTGTTCACGAAAGTACATCAGTGACACCAGCTTTCGCAAACTTTGGGAGAGAATTGCGGCTGCCTGCAGACCTGATCACCGGAATACCACCTGATGCCCCACGCAGTATAACCGATTATGCAAATGACTTGCGGAACAAAATGAATGACATTTATGAGCACGTCAGACAGACGGGCCAGCAAACGTCTGAGAAGATGAAAACACGGTATGACCGCAAAATGAACAACAAGGGCTTTGATGAAGGTTCACTAGTGTGGTTACACAATCCAGTTCGCAGCAAAGGGAAATCTCCTAAGCTTCAAGCTAAATGGGACGGACCGTACCGGATTGTGACAAGGATCAATGATGTAACCTACCGGATACAGAAAGGTGCCAGAGGTACTCCTAAGATTGTCCATGTGGATCGACTGGCGCGTTATTATGGGGCCAATAATGCTCGGGACGAGCATGTCTTAGGAGGGGGCAGTGTTACGCGCCACTATTAATGTCTTGTACATGGCAACACTAGTTACACTAGCGCCCCCTAGTGTCGAGTAAATGAAAGTATTGCGCGCCACTATTAATGTCTTGTACATGGCAACACTAGTCACACTAGCGCCCTCTAGTGTCGAGTAGCAGAACTAGCAGAGTCGAGATCCTTCCATAAATTTCGGGACCGATATGTACTCGAACATTCTAGATGTCGCTACAGTAGAAGGTTCTGGAAACTATCTGAGGCCCTATATAAGACCGGTATAGACCACGACCGGGGCAGTATTGAATTGGCGATACAAGAGAATACTTCGAAGCGAAATAACGGCGAACTGTGTTTTATTATTAGTGTGATTTTTGATTGTAATTAGTGTTGTGTAATTAAAGTGTCAATTTTGGTAATTCACTCGGCAGTTTTTAATTGTCTCGAACCCGAAGCTCGTAACAATATAATAGATGCAACCAAAATTTCTAAAAATTTTATACAATTAATAACAAGCTATAATCTAAAAACAGCTATAAAAGTAACTACACGACGGGTACATGTATCGACAATATTTTTCACAATATTCAAGGGTGTAATACTTATGACTTAGCTTTGTCAGACCCAAAGAGATTATAACCACTACGTTTAAGAGGCGGGACTTCCTAAGAAAAAGTAAATGTATGACATTGCGCCAAGCTACTCTACCAACATCAAGACATGACAATTAATTTTTGACAAACAGTGCTGACAACATAGGCGATTTCTAATAGTGCTGTAAATATCTATCCTTGAATAATTCTATCGGTAAAACTTTTATCGATATATTGTTTATCGATATTTTTACATAATAAAAGTTCTCTATACTGAATTATTTATGAGCAATACTTTTTTTAATCTGGGGACTGAGTAAAAATGCCGATTAGGATAACAAATCATTGTATTTTACACGCAGAAATTTGGAATTATATCTCTACAGTTATTAGGTACAAAATATGTGTAAAGTAAATATAAAATTAAAACGCACTATTATACTAATAATTAATTAAGTAAAAACTAAATGACGACTCCGTAGCGCAGATGCTAAGCGTTTGGCTGGACCGAGGCTTCGTTCCCGCACTGAACTATTGTTGCTATGCTGTAAAATAAATAGTTTGCGTCTGGACGCTTGTTTTCAACGTTAGTTTTTTCAAAAGGGTATAAAATTGGGTTTATTAACACTAATTGGATTAAGTTGCTTTTTACTGTAACAAATATTATGTACAAATCGCTAGGCTTTTTCACAGAGGTACCTACGTACATACTACTCGCAGAGATCGTATATTTATTGTCGCTTTCAAAGAAAAACTATTTATAACCAGGTAATTACAAATAACTTTGAGTTTAGTTTTATAATCGAATTCTTACCAATATATGACTTTATATGGATATTATCTTTTTCTACATGTAAATGAAACCTAATTAACATACACATAATAGTGGAAGTTTAAATTAACTCCACTGATGAAATAACAGTTCGTTTTAGTTGGATTTCTAAATCCTCGGATTTGCAATGTTTGCCACAAATATGTTTTAACATGTGAATCTTTTCAATTGGTGCATGTGCCAACTGTTTCGCCCATTGCTTGCACCTGAAAAATAATATAAATAAAATCACATTTTTATTGAACAAATAGAATGCTATCAGTCACAATTGATGATGTAGTTTCTAAGTATAGTTGGTTTCGGATTGCCATCCCATCGAACTATCAGATTTAGGAAATTGTGTGTTTGTATTTGTGCACACAATCGTACACAATTAAAACCAGTCCCATGTAGATGGCTAGTCCAAAAATGTAGTCGCGTTAAACATCATATTACAATTAAAGTTGAACTCACCACATACCCAAAGAGAATATAACCACTACGGTCAAATACGGCACATGTATATATGGCCGTGCCAATATTTCTCGGAAAAACGTCGCCGAGTACCGGAACAAACTTGTGTCTGAAGTCGAGTCTTTGCTGAACAAAGTCTCGGATTGGGGGCGACTAAATCTAGTCCATTTTTATCCTCAGAAGACACAAGTTTGCGCGTTTACCGCTAAAAAGAACCCCTTTGTCGTATCTCCTCAGTTTCAAGGCATTCCCCTTCTTGCCTCAGCCAGTATCGGTATCCTCGGAGTCGACATATCGAGTGACGTGCAGTTTTGTGGTCACTTGAAAGAGAAGGCCAAATTGGCCTCTAAAAAGCTTGGCGTGCTGAGCAGAGCGGGACAGTATTTCATGCCGGCACACCGCCTGCAACTTTACAAGGCGCAGGTTCGGCCTCACATGGAATACTGTTCCCATCTCTGGGCAGGGGCTCCCCAGTGCCAGCTCCTTCCACTTGACCGCATCCAGCGCAGAGCGGCTCGAATCGTCGACGACCGAGTCCTTTCCGATCGGCTCGATTCATTGGCACTGCGAAGAGACGTTTCATCCCTTTGCATTTTCTTTCGCATCTACCATGGGGAGTGCTCTGAGGAATTGTTCGGATTAATCCCAGCCGCCAAATTTCATGAACGCACATCGCGGCAGAACTCCCGATACCATCCACACCATCTGGATGATTGGCGGTCCACCACTGTGCGATTTAGAAGATGTTTTCTTCCTCGCACGACTTCCTTGTGGAATCGATTACCATCAGCGATTTTTCCGGACCGATACGACTTAGGGACCTTCAAGAAAAGAGCGTACTCCTTTTTAAAAGGCCGGCAACGCATCTACAATTCCCTCCCTGGTGTTGCAGTTGTTCATGAGCGGCGGTAGTCACTTACCATCAGGTGATCCGCAAGCTCGTTTGCCCCCTCTCCTATAAAAAAAAAATATCTATGTTATTAATTTTGAGACAATAATTTATACTCGTTTTGACATTATTATTTTGACATTACAATTTTAATTATTACATGTATTTTATCATTATTTTGTGAATTATTATTATGTTAGTAGTGCAAATATACAAATAGGGTATATTATATGAATGTAATTATCGGAATTTTCTATTTAGTTTTGATTATAAATAAAATCTTATATTTAAGTAGTTTGCACACTGGAAGGTAGAATATGGCTGTATTTTGTTAAATTATTAAAACCTATTGTAACCCATATATCGCAAATGAATAAAATGAATTTGAATTTGAATTTGATAACAGCTAAGTGATGTGACGAGGTCACGACCTTAGTGCAGAGGTGTGACCATGCAGAATAATCAATCCACAAACAATTTACAAATATTATTTAATTAAAATTCAATTTGATTATTTTTATGTCGAGTTTTCTGAAGTGAAGTTATTTCTATATGTTTGAATAATAATTCTGATAACGCAAATAACGGCAAGCACAAAGTTTTTGTTACATATTGTTACATATTATTCAATTTCAATGAATGTTTTATGCCTTCTATGTTTTATTTCCATATTAAACAATATAACTTCCAAATTTAAAACGATATTTCCACAGCTGCCTCAGCTAGTATCGTAATCCTTGGCGTTGACATATCGAATAGTGTGCAGTTTCGTGGTCACTTGGAAGGGAAGGCCAAATTGGCCTCTAAAAAGCTTGGCGTGCTCAGCGGAGCGAGACAATATTTCATGCCGACACATCGCTTGCAACTTTACAAAGCACAAGTTCGGCCCCACATGGAATACTATTCTCATCTCTGGGCCGGGGCACCCCAGTGCCAGCTCCTTCCACTTGACCGCATCTAGCGCAGAGTGGTTCGAATCGTCGACGACCGAGTTCTTTCTGATCGGCTCGATACACTGGCACTGCGTAGAGATGTTGCATCTCTTTGGGTATTTTATCGCATCTATCACAAGGAGTGCTCTAAGCAATTGTTGGGACTAATTCCAGCCGCTCAATTTCACCATCGCACATCACGAGAAAACTCGCGTTACCATCCATACTATCTGGATGATTGGCGGTCCACCACTGTGCGATTTAGAAGAAGTTTTCTCCCTCGCACAACTTGCTTGTGGAATCAATTACCACCAGCGAATTTCCCGGACCGATACGACTTAGGAACCAATTTGCTCACATGGTCTTCGAAAGTTAGTCTCGGTCTACCTCGACACCTTTTAATATTAACTTTCGCGCTATATATTTTCTTCACCATTCGGTCTTCACTCATTCGCTCAACGTGCCCAAACCACCGAAGCACGCCCTTATCAATTTTTGTGATAAGGTCATCTTTCAAACCTGCCATATTGCGAATATCTTTTTGCTTTCGGTCGGCCATGGTAACGCCGCACATTTTACGAAGAGATCGCATCTCCACTGCATTCATCTTGCTTTTATGCTTCTTCTGGCATACCCAGGTTTCACTGCCATATAACAAAGTCGGTACCAACACTGCGTTATGTATTGCAAGGCGTGCACTCTTCACTACGCCTTGCCTTTTGACTAACGCAGCCAGGGCACCATTGACTTTGTTCCCGGCAGCGACACGCCTGTCCACATCTAAATATATATATCAAATAAAAAAAATATTCTATTTTCTGTTTTATATTAGTATGAATAACCACTTATATGAAAAGCAGTCATTTGAATATTACAGGCAGATACTTCAATTTTATTTATAGATGTATGTGTATAAATAATTTAATGACAAGAATGCACTATATGTGCATTATATCTATTAAGGTACTTAATATTTATAAGTCAACAACGTCTAAAACGAGCTTGTTGGTCATAATCATAAGCCTTACATCCATAGAGTATAATTTACCATGCCGCAAAATTCCATGAACGGATGCATGGTTCATAGAACCCACAACAACACCAATATTAAAAAAAAACTTGACGTGCGAAATGCGAAGCTTTGCATTACATGCGTGACGTGAGTACCTTAGACGTGAACAATCGAATGACAGTTTTAATATTTTAAAAATTATGTATTAATATTTACTGTTGAAAAAAAATATTTATACATTTTTTATTCTTATTAAATCGTTAAAACCGTAACGTTGTTATTAAATTCAGCTATTTAATAAAATTCGGTGTGTATCAGTGACAGATCCGTTTGTTTATTGGTTAACATCCGCCATTTTGTACTGTCGTTTGTTTAGTGACTGGGTCTATTTCCTAGTGATGCTATACAATTTTCATCAAAATATATATTGTGATTTTCCATGTGGTGTAAAATGTTTTTGCTAGAAACGTTGTTTTTAAGGGGTTTAAATTAAATTGAGTGAGTTGTCAAACTGACATCGGTATAATTCTACCTATGTGCCGGATGTGTCCTACAATCGGTTAGGCGATTGAACGTGCCACCTTGAGTGGTATACGTGTTGCGATACCTATGCTGCCTAGAATATGAGTGGCAACGGGAATCAGGTGCCGCTGGCGCCAAGTCAGCGTGGGCCCGGACCGTATCCTTTTAATGAGTGTTTTGCCTAAGTTTTAAAGTTATATTTACGTAATGTTAGCCAATTCGTACCGTTTACTACGGCCGCAATTGCGAATAGTTATGTGTTATTGTCAATTGGTTTTCACGGTAATACTTTGTTATTTCTTTTATCAGAAAATTAACTGGCTTTCTAGCCTCCAAACATATTTTGTCTTAAAGTTGCATTGAATGTTAACTTTTCAACAAACTTTATGTTTTGATTTATGAGGCTAAAACTTTTTCATTGTTCGTCACAAGTGTGTATACGAGTTTAAAACACTTAAAATAGTTTTTACGCTCTTTGTAACTTGTTTATTGGTTTCTTCATTAATTTTGTTTATAATATATTTATTTTATATATGAAGTAGGATATAACAATTGACTGAAGCAGTTTAAGTTGAATTACAAGTAAACAAAAAGTATTTCATATTATTTTTGAAATTGTATTTTTCCTGTAAAACATCAAAGCCTGTTGAAAGTCCATTGCTGAACATAGGCCTCCTACATGGATTACCTCAAAGAATGTTTAACTATAGTTGCCACACTTAACAGGCAGGGTGACAATTGAATTTTGAAGTTTTATATCTATTACACAATTAAGTTATATGAGAACTAAAAAATTAATTGCAGCGACTGTCTTTTACTTAATTTGCTAGCGAAGTATGTTTGCATTGATAACATGTGCTAATGTAAGCTATAAAAATCCAAATATTGCTTAAAATTGTCATTGGTCTAAATAGGTACACAATGTAATACCTTCACAGTAGCTCATGTTTACAATGAAATTGTACAAAGTTTGAATGCTTTACTTTTCTAAAATAAATACTGTTATAATTAATTTCAAAATATAAAATCTACCCTACCATAAAAAATATTTGGCTCAGCATATATATGTAATATTGATGAATCTGAAACCTAAATTTTGTCTACTTCAAACCACATAGTTATAGTAAGTAAGGTAGTACTGTTATTGTTGGAGTAATAAGCTAGAAATGTTTATATTTCTTATGTTAATGGCATATTTTGCAGGTCTAAAACAGCTGTGCTTTATAAAAATTAAAAGACATCACCGTATTGAAAAATATTTTGTTTTCAGTGAGGTTACCATGAAAAAAGTAATTTAGGAACTCAGGTGAAACTACTATCAACTATAGCCTTTACAAATAAAAATAAAAAGAGTCCAAATGATAATGATATAACTACCAATTGTGCAAGAGTTATGAAATGGTATGTTGATAGTTATCTAAAGATTTTTTTTTATTTCAAGATATTTCCTCATATTTTATAATTTCTCAGGCATGCATCATTTACACAGTATTAAGTTTTTTAACATTCTCTTGATGCGCATTTCTTTAAGTTTTTATAATTGGCATGTTATAGTTGTAGTCAGGCTTTTTGCTTTCCTAGACTTATTAATTTTTGTGTGTTTTAATAGAAAACCCTATTATTTATGTTCTATGTCTATTTATTTATTTTATATTATACTATGGTATACCTTCGTGAAATCAAACCTAATTTGACTAGGTTAGTCTTAGCAACAATCAACCTCTAAGTATCTTCTAATTAAATAGCACTTGAAAACATTATAGTGTTACAGCATAAGTTATTTTGGATGTACCACTCATTAAGATCAATCTAATTAACATATCAACTACATAATTAAAGTATAATTATATGACCCTTTTGTGTTCACTAAGTAAAGTTACAAAATCAAGATAACAATTAGAATATTGTCTTAAGTACACTACATTAAAAACTTAATATAATATAATATATAAATTTTTTCTTCAACTTTAAATGAGACCACCTTCAAAGTATATAGTCTATTTGATTTAAAAAAAGCATTTACATTAATTCACAATTAGCAGGGTACCCACCTAGCGCACAGGCTCGCGCGGCAGCCTCGGTGTGTGGCTCGTGAGGCAGCCTCAATAGTATTGTCCAGAACTGAGAGGCATGCATCACGAGGCAGGCGCAGCCATCATAATTCCTCGCACATCCGAAATGGACAGTTATGTAATTGCAGCTGCAGCTACTTTCCTAGTTGCTTATTGTTTAAAAAAAACGATAACAGTGTTTTGGATCCCACAGCATCTTGTACATACCGTACAGTTGAATTAAATGACTCGACTCATCCTGATTGCTAATGACATTATATTACTAAAATGACTTCAGTAAAACTAACTACAGCGGGACTTTTTTTTTTTTTAAAAATAACAGCTTACAATCATGTATGTTACACAATTAACCACACAAAACAAATTAAAAATAGCTTGGTAGCAATCACCTCATTCCCAGGGGTTATTATCATCCATAAATTCCTTAATATTATAATAACCCTTTTAATAGAGTTTAATAAATGTTAATAAAGTTTTTGAACTTTGAGCAGGTCAAATTTTGTATATTTTCTGGGATTTTGTTGTAAAAGCATGTACAACACCCCAAGAATGAATTACCGACTCGATGGTTCGAGTAACTGGTTCTACTAGCTTGTGTCTGTTTATACTACTTACACAAGTGGGAATCACTTATTTTTGTATAACTACCTTTATTTTTGTGTATGTACATTACATTTTCATAAATGTATTGAGAGGCCAAAGTTAATATATTAATTTCCTTAAATTTTTGTCGCGGCAACTCTTTAGGCACTAATTAATAAATTGCTGAGTTTTTGGCGGGAAATTGACCGGCGGCGGTTTGCTGCTCCTGTATTATTGTTTAAATAATGGTTTGAAGTGGACTTTGATATGTAAAAGTGTTGCGATTTTGTGTATTAAGTGTCTACGCATGTGAACTATTAGTGGAAACAGTGAAACAAGTGCTCTGATGGTGATGGATTCTCAAGATAAGCTGTTTGTTTGCATAGGGACCTTTAGATACCATCGCCAACTATCAGCTGTCTGCTGGATCAAGTTGCCGCCAAAATCTCCCAAGAACTGCACAATGTGACGCATCAACATATTGTGAAGCAGTATACTATGAAGGAGTGGGGAAATTACAATAAACCGAATAAAAATACTTAAGACTTGGCCTAAAGGTCTAGATACCAGGCCATAAACTCCAAAAAAAAATTAATAAATTGCTCTTATGGCTCTCTTCTGTAAAACGTCAGCTGCATGTCCCCAATAGCTAAAGTAAACAAGTCTAGCTGTTTCCACACTGGTAAGATTACTAATCTATTTTACAGCATATGCTGCAGAACTAAGTCTGCTTGGTAATTTTGATATATGGGGGCTCCATTAAAGCTTCGTGTCTAGTGTTATTCCAAGAAAAATTGTGGTATTGACAAGACTCAATTTCTCCCCATTTAAAATTACATTAGTATTTAATTGCTTGACATTTGGAGTCATGAATTACATACATTTCGTTTTAGTGTCATTTAAATGCAAGTTATTAACCTTAAACCAATTTACTAATTTAGTTATAGCATTATTTACTTCGTCATATTATAATAATTGTTGTTTTAATTTGAAAATTAATGAAGCATCATCAGCAAATAATACTATATCATGGTTATCCCCTACTATGTAAGGTAAGTCATTAATATATACAAGAAACAGAAAGGGGCCGAGAATTGAGCCTTGAGGCACCCCCATTTGTACTATCGACCTGGAAGAACTCGTACTATCAATGACAACTTTTGCGTTCTGTTACTTAAATATGAGACAGTTAATTTAAGAGTATTTCTTCTTACACTGTAGTATTGTAGTTTCATGTTGAACATGTTTCATGTTTCATGGTGAACACAATGGAAGGCTTTGGATAGCTAACAAAATATACCCAAAGTATCCTGTGAATTTTCCCATGCATTGAAAATATAATTAATCAGCTCAACACCAGGATCAGTTGTCGAGAGACCCCTTGTGAAACCGAATTGATTTTTATTAAGTAAACTATTTACATTTAAAAAAATTCACATTTGATCAAGAATAGTTTTTTTTTTTCAAAAATCTTACTAAGTGTTGGCAGTACAGAAATTGGTCTAAAATTAGCGGGGCTAATGTACTACCAGATTTAAATGAAGGTATTACTTTATTATACGCCACATCATTTTAATTTTATTAGAAGCCTTTAATTTAATTCTTAACTTTGTTGCTCAAATGCAAAGAATTGCCTGTGGGGCACACTCTTTTAAATATTTTTGAATATTTTTTTACATATTCCCTAAATTCGTCTCTAGGGTTATATGACCTTTCATGGTAAAGTTCATATAACCTCTGTCTGCTCTTATGGACTCGTACTGTCGCCCATTCATTGCATGCCTTCCGACTGTTCAAGGAGAACGTTTTAGAAGTAAAAATATTATCAAATTCATTGTAAATGAGCTTAAACAATGTTCCATACAAAAATTAGGATCATTTTGATATGAAAGTGATGGAAGTTTCTTCACTATGTTACTTTTAAACTTTTCCAAGTGATGGGCAGTTACTGGAACAAACACAATTATTTCATATACTTGCTTTTTGTGAACATAAGGTAACGAAACTAACTGTCAACAGTGATCAGAACTCAATTTTGAATTATGCAACGGCTTAACGTTTATTTACTTGATATATATATATATTGTAAATTAAATGTTTAAAAAAAAGTCCCGCTGGGTTTCTTGCTGCCTCTGCCCAGGACAGCGTGTTTTTTCTGAACCAGTGATAAATCTTAAATGACTTTAAAATTATTCTATTCCATACCATGTGACGTTTAACGTCTTACAAAGTTATTATATCTCAAGATTCAATTAGCTTATATCGCGGCGACAATTATAAAGATTTGTTTTAGTATAATCCTATAATAATATCGAGGGTGATTTCGTAGGCGGCGCCTACGTATTCGGACGCGTAGCGCGAGAATATTGTAGTATCTTCCTACGAAGGAAAATAACAGTTTCTTTTCTCGAGTCGTTGCACTATGTTGCTTATTAAGCAATTAATTATTCTACCTGAAATTCAGAGGATTGCATTTAAGCGCTTTATTGCTTTTTCATGAAAG